TGATCATTAGATCGAGCTCATCGAGTTACCTAGAAAAAACTGAAAAGTGGATTTTTGAAAGTCTTTTTTCATTTTTAAAAATGGGCAAAATTCAGCCAAATTTTGAAAAAAACGCAAAATTTCAGAGTTTATTGTCTTTTTAACATTTTTATACTATTTTTTTCTGATTTTACATACAAAATTGAATATAAAAAGTACTTCAGATACTTTTAGAACCAGATTGGCCGACTGGAATCACTGAAGACCGGGCAGAACGACTGGAATCCCACCCGAACTTCTTGTAAGCCTATCTAGTGTTTTGGTTAGCACTCAGGCAAGTTTTTTTTCTTTATTTAAGTCATCACACTTGTGGGAAAAGAACTTAGTATCCGCTTTGGAAAATATTCTTCCGTTGTTGAGAAAATTAATTTTCTTGAAGTAGGTAGCAAAAAACAAGAAAATTCACTTGTATTTTCCAGTTTTCACTGTCAAGTTTTCACTTTTGTGAACGAGAAAAAACTGTTGAAGCACAGAGACTTTTTTACTTTCTTTTATGAGTTTATGAACATAGGCAAAAGTGTTTGGCTTGTTCTCATTCTCTATTATGAATGAAAACTCCAGAAGAAATTGAATACTTTTACATGAACCATCCAGCACCTTTATTACATCACAATTTCGAGCGACATAAAATCCAAGCCTATCTAACTCTGATTTAATGCCTATAACAGAGATGAGCAAGTATTTTTAAAAGAAGAAAATACTCATGAAAAAAGTTATTTTAATTACAGATTATTGTATCAAGTACTCGAAAATACTCGAGTACATTTTTAAGTACCCATAAAAAAAAGTCCCGAGTACGAGCACTGAAAATTTTGTACACGAGTATTTTGTACTCGCCCATCTCTGAACTATGACCACGACTTCAGTGGAACTGCTTTATAATCTGTAATGCTATAGATCTGTCTGTGTTTTTTGAAATGACTCAACATCATCGTGTACCATTGGTTGTGGTGATTAAAAATTTAAAGGTGAGAGTCCATTATCACTGCAGCAAGCTATACTGCCAATTATCAATACTCAACTATGCTTAGAAGTTGTAGGAAAGCAGACAAAACACAGTTGTGCGCCGATGGTACAAGAGGTGAAGATACGTGTCAAGGTGAGAAATGAATTGTGCTTTGATCCAAAAATTTTCTTGTTCCGAACTCGGCCTAAAAATTTGGAGTATGACTCAAGAGCTTGCGATATTTTGCTTACTCCCGAATCATGAGATTTTGACTGAGAAATCAATCAAAATGTTGCAATGCTCCCACTGTATTCGATTTTTAGATCAAAATTTATCAATAATTTACTGCGTAACGACATAAAAAGACGAAGTCTCTGCTACTCAGACATGCTCTTCCTCGTGTAAGAGTTTTTACTCATTGTAGGAGTATGATTAATGTTACTTTTGTTTTCGCGATTATCGGTCCATAATCCACATACAAACTGTTGGAATCATCGATTGATGTTAGTTGTAGGTTGAAAGAGCATTAAAAAAGTTAAAATGAGAGAAGTGAACATTTTTTCATTAAAGTCTCCAGGCTATAAAAAACTGGGGAGGCTAGACATTTGAAATAAGAAGAACATTCAAAAGCTCGTGCTTCTGCAGTCTGACGAGAGCTTTTGGCCCGCGTTTGGAGATAGGAAGTAGTACCTAACTAAGCCAAATTTTAGGCGACAGCGGTGATCCTCTGATGATTAAACGTCGAAATGAAAAGGAATTTGTATTTGAAATTCTTGGTATAGTATCGTTTGGTATGAAAGGATATGCAAAGAAGAATGAACCAGAAATTTATACACGTGTAACTGGATATCATAAATGAATACAAAGTATTATACATGAATCCTAATAACTTTTTCTGAACAGTTTCTTTAGTTGGAGAAAACGAATTGTACGTTTCACAAAAATATATTGAAGTGACTATCAAATAGTTTTATATTTTATTCCATTCGTCTACCACAAGTACGTCTGCCTGTCTTGGGAAAACTTTGGTTGTCAGTACACGATGTACTTCTTCATCTGCATCTATGCAGCAATCAGCTAATATGGTTATACGGTAGTCTTTATCAGCAGCTTCACGCATAGTTGATAAAACAACGCCACTTGTAGTAAAACCAGTGAGTACGATATGCTGAATTCCTTGTGAACGTAAAATTACTTCAAGATCACTGCCGGCAAATGCACTAACACGACGCTTGGTAACGATGATCTCATCGGCTAATGGTGCCACATCCGGATGGATTTTCATCCAATCTTCCACAAATTCCACAGTCCATCGCTCCCTGCCAACTGCAGCAAAGCTTTTGTTTTTCATATTCATTTCCGGCGCACCTGGTCTAAAGCCAACTATTACATATATAACAGGGATTTTCTTCTTGCGGGCATTTGCTATAGCCTTAGCTACATTTCTGATAAACATTACGACATTCGGAAGCATACCAACCATTGCAGCCTGCATATCCATTACCAAAAGAGCGGTGTTTTGTGTGTTTTGTTCCATTTTTAATTGTTTTTTTTTATAATCGTTAATTGACTAAATTTTATTTTGTCGTTGCCATATATTAGATTTATGGCCACCTTTTAAAAAAGATGCTTCATCATTGTTTTTACAAGTCATAGTGAAGAACAGAAAAAAGAGAAAAAAAAAGAAACATCATCATCATCGATGTTCTATACTCAACAGAAACAAATTTACTCTACTCCTCATGCTCGTGTATGCAACGTCTCAGTTATTACAAAATCTTTCATGGAATAGCGGATGACACAAATATTCTCTACAAAATATTAATTTTTGTTCTGTTGTAAATACAATTTATTTTTGAGAAAGTGCTATCATTTACGTCTAACGTAAGCACTCGGTAACCTTTTCTCCTTACTTCTCTCACTGAATTCTATCAGGTTTCTATGTAGTAAAGTATGCGACTCTACCCACATCTAGTGAATTTAGTTGATTATTAAACGCGTTTTCATTTCGCCAAAGTTTGTCAAATTCTGTGTAGGTCGTCCAAATTCTAAGGTTTCTATACTTTTTTATGGATTCTGTCACTATATCATTTGACAATATCTCTAATTTTTACTCAAACTGGATGGTTCATGTAAAAGTATTCAATTTCTTCTGGAGTTTTCATTCATAATAGAGAACGAGAACAAGCCAAACACTTTTGCCTATGTTCATAAACTCATAAAAGAAAGCAAAAAAGTCTCTGTGCTTCAACATTTTTTTCTCGTTCTTTTTCTCACAGACAGAAAAAATATTATGAAAAACAATTGCTGAATCAACCAACCATTCAACGCAATTTTGTCTAGCGCTCTTAAATATGTTATTAGTTTTGCTCACCAGTATACAATAAGTAAAAAAGACGCGAAATGAGTGAGAGTCAAGATGTGTGAAACCTTGTGAACAATATTTTGTATATGGTGATTACTTTTTGAATTATTATCTATAAATTACTTCATGAGACAAAATTCTGTAATAACATTTGCCTAGATGTACACACTAATGAATGCATTTTCTGGTTTAAGCATGCATTGACGTTTCATTTTTATGTGATGTTGAATCATTCCTGAATTTAAGTTCTCATCATCTTCTTCAATAATTTTGTAGTGTTGCTTCATCCAAGCTTCAGATTCAATTTTTGTTTCTCTGGTGCATATCAGATATATGCAATACATATTGTTTCTCATCAATGTCTTCTGAGTCACAGTGTTCTTCGGTATATGCTCTTGCTACTTTAACCCTTTCTTGCCCTTTGCTCCCTATAGGGACCATGTTATAAAAGTTTTATTTTTTTTGAACTAGAAGGCTTTTAACGAGAAATCTTATGTCACCTTTAAGAGTAACTATCGTGGACTGTATAACAAGAATCTAAATCTAATCTTTATCCCTAAATTAATTTTTCATGACGCTTGTTA